GTTCCTTGTTAGCAATGAAAATCAATTTTCAGTCTGATATTTGTACATACCAGACTGAATTGGCTCTGGTTACTCCTATTCTCAATCCCACTTGAATTCTGGCTTTATTTTATATACCTGATAAGAATTCATAATGTCTATATATTTATTATATTTCCTCATGTTTTAATGGTTATAAATGCTTAAATCTTGGATTTTGATTATGTTTCGTATTTTGTGGAGTAGATTGAGAGTTAAATAAAATTGAATTCAAAATCAAGAGATTTAGAGAGGAAAAATCGGAGCTAAAAAAGATATACATTCCAACAGCGGTTTTTACTTAAAGCGTGGGCACGTCCTGTTTTCCCATAATGTTCACAGAAGCAGTTAGTAGATAAAGCGTGGGCACGCCTTACTGGATCCGAGGTTTTGACCTAGGGTTACGCATTTGTTGGAGAAAAATGATATGTATGACACCTGGAAAGATTTAGTTACCCATTCTTATCTCTAGGATTTGCCAAGACTCCCTATTAAGGTGGGATTTGCTTCCTTATCTAGATAGGGTAACTATTAGTAGATGGAGTTATAAATAGGGAGATTATTCACAAGAAAATCTCTCTCTCTCTCTCTCTCTCTCTCTCTCTTCTTTAGGCATTCTTTTAAATATGAGTAGCTAAATACTTTTCTTCCAACTGAAGGATAATTGAAGTTTTGGTTCTTCAAGAATTGTGAGATCTAAATAATTTTCAGTGTTCTTTTATTTCTTCACTATTTATATATCTTCTATATTTATTAAAAATTATTGTCTTGATTGATTGATGCAAAGGACCCGTTGTTCAATTATCAGGTTAATAAATTGCCATTTAGAACTTTAAATCCGTAATTGTTTAAATGTTCTAATATTAGTGGTAAAATAACATAGTTGATTTTAGAGAGATTTTCGATTTATGTTATGAAGATATATAATCTAGTCTAAATGAATCGAGCTTGTGTATTTGTTGGCTAGAATTGGTAGTCTCTCTAATTATTAATGCTGTCGATAGATTAAATCCTGAGAGCTTGTTTAGGATTGTTTATTAACAAGGGAAGTAATTAAAGAGCTTGTTTTGGTTATCGAGAAAGTAAGGAGAGATAGGTTGTTAGAGCTTGTTAATAACCATAACCAATTTAGTGAAGAATTGAAGATTTTATCCTTGTATCTGTGACCAATTCTGAAATTATACATTTGGTTGGATATTTGCCTGATATTGATTTCTCTTTAATTTTTAGTTGATTATAATTGCTTTCTCTTTTATTTCACTTCGAAATTTCAAAACCCCCTTTTTCTTTGCTTTGATTTTCATTAAAATAAATCTACACAATCTCTGTGGATACGACCTTGCTTATCACTGTTACAATTTGTAATTTTTTTTAGAGTGAGAATTTTATTATTTGTTGGATTCGACACCCAGCAATACCCTTATGGGATTATTTAATATGAACATACTCAAATTTTTTTTTTTTTTAAAACCATTAAAAATCCCATTATAATTATTAATACCCCTTAGATTGTTTTAAAAACACCCTAGTCCCAAGTGGGTTTCCCATAATTATTGAAGGGTTTTTAATAGTTTCCGTAAACTTTAGAAGTACTTGGGATTAAACGATCCTACGAAGGGAAGTATGAAATAAACCCCTTAAATTTTAATCAAATAAATACCTCTAGGACATGAAGAGCACATTGAACACCTTCATCGTTTGCCCATAGAGTAGAGAGTAAATAACCAAAATTCTGCAAGTTAACATAAAAATTAATTAATTGGAACCAAAATTATATAAATTAACAAAACCAGTAGCTCTAAAATGGAGAGAAAGAGAATGAGAACCTTGTACCGATTGTCAGTTTGTCTCAAAGATCTCCTCTTGTTTCCATCATCTAATTTGGGTGATATTGTGCCACACTTGGGAGCCAACACCATTTCCGTATTTATTTGTTCAATTAACTACAAAATTCAGATAATGCTTTTTTAATTGCCCACCTCAAATTCGATTATGATATTAAAACCAGGTTTAGTTGAACTGAGTGTTTGACTAGAGGGTAAGACAACTACCTCCATCAACAAGCATAACCCAGTATATAGGTTTGACCGTGAAGGAGGAGTGTTGGAGTGTCACATCAACTAAACACACTTAAACACATCGACTAGACATGCTCAAGCCTATTAGTACTACCTCAAATTCTAATATTGTTTGATAACTTTCTTATTCTTCACCATTCATACGTGGTGATCCACTTATAATCCCCTGTTTCATTCATATAGAATTAGAAATTTTATAAGCAATCAAGTGTTGATCATTACCACTAGATTTATTGTTGGCACAAGTCCGGCATTATTACCTGCAACGCCATGAATAATTAGGTAAATTAAACAACAAAAGAATGAAATTACTTGATTCATTAATTAGTAGGGAAATTACCATCCAATATATTATTTGCGATAATGGGAGCAAGTACACCAGAATATAAATCCGTACAACAAAAAATCTGTTTTTGATATATTGGGGATGCTCATTTAACCACTGCAATATTGAATTCAAAAATTACACAAAACTCTATATGTACATGCATGGGCTGTTTTAGAAAGTTAAAGTTCATTGTACATAACATCACCTCTCTTATAAAAATATAAGATTGATTTGCTGACTGTAAGTCTGTGAACTCGTAATCTGCTGGGTTTGTTGAATAGGAGTAACCAGAGCCAATTGGTGCATCTACAAGTATTGTACTCGCACTCTACAAATTTATCGTTATCATACAGATTTAATTAAATATCAATCCCTCACATTATACTACACTTATCAAGTTATAAATTTTGCACCTTGGTCCATGTGTATGGGTATAAATGCAACGTTGGCAAACCTCCAGTGTAATTAGTTTCATCAAACTGTAGTGGACCTAAAAATATATTTTGACATGAGCATTAATTTATAAGATTAAACAATTAACAAGAAGAGAAGAGGTTTTGGAATGTAACACTTGTATCCTTATTATTGAACTGTTTGTGAGAATTAATGGTCATAAGGGTAAAATAGTCAACATAATAAAAGATACAAGTTATTTATTTCCTAAATGTCTTATCCAAATGTCAAAGTTTAACATTTTTTAATCATTTAATATATTTTTCTTCATTACTACATGCATGAGAGTGTCAGGTTTGGTCAAAGTTGTTGAATAAGCTAAGCCTCTACATCCATCCGCTGTCCATGCAAGCAACTATCTAACGAACTGTATACATTCACATCGTTATTTTCTTTTTGTTTTTCAAATTTAGCCTAATTCACAAAATAAATTATATTTCCCACTACAAGCACAAACTTCATAGCAACAATTGAGAAATGCGTAGCAATAACATCTCAACAATTAATAAATACATGTGAATCCATATCAACAACATTTTAATATTCTTAGATAAGAAATTAATATGCAAATGAGATTTGTTTTAATTCAAATAAATCATTAATAAGATATCACTCAATTCTTATTTTCCATCCAAAATAGTTATAAACTAAAAATAATAATAGTACATTTACAAATTATATTTTCAAATTCTTTCGTATCAACCGATCAAATAATTTATATAGATATTATGTGGTGTATTTTTTATCTCTTTTTCCATATAGGTTTCATATAACAGACTAACAATACGCCTTCAATCTTTCCCATTCTTTTAATGGATCATAAATATTTAACTCTTTGAGAAAAATATTTATTGAAATTAAAAATATATAGATCTTTCAATTTAAGGTATTGATGACCAAATAGTAAAACTGCATCACCAACCAGCAATGACCATTGATTGGCCAGTACTCCACGTGTACCGTCTCTTCCTACTATCTAATCTTCTTAAAATTTTAAAAAGAGAAGCCGACATGTTCCCACCCCGAGGTTTGGGCGAATCTCATGCGGATACCCAATTTCCATTTATTCAGATTTCTACCCTTAAAACTAACTTTGTTTTCTTTATTTTAACAATGGAAGGCTAAAATAGACTTTATCCTATTTTGAAATTAAAAGGACAAAATAACCAACCAACTCTGAAATTTCTCTCTAGTCTCCACCTCCATCTCTTTATCCTCTGCTTCCCCTCATCTTTGTTGGCGTCGTCGCCGTCACCGACTTTTTTCTGATGATGAAGCCCAGATCTAGCAGTGACTATCCATCTCCCTCTTACATTTCTCCATTTTTTTCCTCTCCACCATGCGATTTTGCCTTTTCCATGAGTGTAGTGCCCAGCCGGCTGATTCCAGCGTCGCCGAAAACCCCCATCACCACCAATCACTTCCCCATCTCTTCGCTTGATAGCTGCGTTTGGGTTGATTTGGAGCCTTTGTTTTGATTTCGATTTGTTGGGTTTTCGTTGTGTTTAATTTGGAGTGAATTTAATTTGTTGATTGGTTGCGGGTTTTTTCTGGTTGTTTTCCCTGCTGTCGGCCGCTAATTTTCCTTGCCACCGTCGTCGTCCACTGTTTTGGAGTGAATTTGATTTGTTGATTGATTGTAGAATGGGTCGACTGTGGTGGTGGTTTGGTTGGTTGTGGTGGCGGTTTGGGATGGGGTGGCTTGGAATGGACTCTATGGTTTGGAATGGGGTGAAGGGCAGTTTGGTAATAGCCTGTATCAGAACCAAAGCATCATTGACGACCCTCATTTAAAGGTGGGAATCTGAAATAAATAGAACTGGGGCTATCAGTTTGAGATTTCGCCAAACCTCGGTAAAAAATGTCTGGTCCCTTAGTCCAGAAATTTTACATTATGTGTCTTGTTAGGAATGTCTGAAGCTGCAAGGTCTTTTGAAATCCTCATTTTTCTCGTGCGTTTTTAAAACTGCTGGTTAAGTTTATTCAAACCATTTACGTCCACACGATCGACCGCTACGTTCAGTTGACTTACAGTTATCCAATATTCCTTACCAGATTTTAATAAGAATGAAAGTTAGGAAATTCATCTTCTAATTTCCGACTCACACACGCACAATGAAAAGGAAATTTTCGTATATGTATAAATATACACTCACTTTACCAACGTAGACTTCATCATTTCACCTTGACATAAGATTAGCTCCTCGTTATATGAATATCATGCCTTCAAATCATACCAAATTCTCAAGTTTGGTTTTGTTGTTTGTTTTTCTTTTTCTGAGAAATGCAGATTGTGGGCAAATTGTGAGGACATTGCCGGGATATACCGGTACTCTTCCTTTCAAACTTGAAACAGGGTAAGTAGTGAAATTTAATTTGGTCACTTTTTTACATTTGTGTAAAGTGAAGTAAGTTATTTTTTAAGAGGATTTTTGAAAACTCAGATATGTGAGCGTGGGGGATTCAGAGCTCTTCTACTTGTTTGTGGAGTCGCAAGGAAATCCTGAAGTAGATCCTGTTCTTTTTTATGTAGTTGGAGGCCCTGGTTGTTCTGCTTTAAATGGTTTTTTATTCCAAACTGGTATCTCATTTATCCTCCTCTCTCTTATACATTCCAATATGGGAATAGGTTTATTAGCACACTCAAAGTTTTCAAAAACTATCAAAAATTCCCTTATAAGTTATAATTATTGAAACCCTATTGTGATAAGGGGATTTTTTTTAATACTTTAAGGAGAGTATTCAATAATTATAAGGGTCTTTTTTTTTTTTTTTTTTTTTTTTAATAATAATTTTGAAAAGTTTAAGTGTGATAATATTAGTTAAACAATCTTGTAAAGGGGTGTATCAAATAAATCTTATTCGAATATATTAATAAATTACTATTTCCTTAATTAAATATCTTAGGTAGGTATGGTCAAATTTGGCTAGATGATTAAGATAAGTGTGATTTAGGATTATGAAAGCATACGATTTTTATCATTATCATTATGTAACGATGTCGTTTTGTTGGACAGTGCTATGGGAATATATTAATAAATGCTTATATTCAAAATTCTAGATTTGCCCCAACTTTGATGTTTACTATATATATTATTTTTTATATAGGTCCCCTACAGTTTAATCAGACTGACTACACTGGTGGCTTGCCATCATTACATTTGTATCCCTACACATGGACAAAGGTGCCAAAATTTTAAGCTATATATGGCCTTAATTTGATTAATTTCATAAAAAAAATCATGTTTTATGATTGTATAGTGGTGATACATTTTATTAATTTTGCAGACTGCTAGTATAGTTTTTGTAGATTCACCTGTTGGCTCTGGTTATTCCTATGCATCAACCGCTGCAGGTTACGTTCTCTCAGACTCGAAGTTTGCAAATCAAACTTACAACTTTATGAGAACTGTGAGTGAAAGTTTAATATAAAATTATGCTTAACTTAACAGAATTTTATGTTGGCACAAGCTCTCATAGATCTCAATTATATTGTGCATTATTTTATTTTAATTTTTAATTGGAGGCAGTGGTTGAATGAACATCCTCAATACATGCTAAACCGAGTTGTTCTTGCTACTGATTCTTATGCTGGTATCGTTGCTCCAGTTGTCGTTCAAAAACTATTGGAAGGTAATTATTGAAGCCAATTTTGTTCATCAATATTAGGGCATGTATATTTTTGTTATTAGTTTATCTAATATGTCAATTATATATACATGGCATTGCAGATAATAAAGCCGGAGTTGAGCCATCAATAAGTATACTAGTAAGGATATATAAACTTATACTAATTCAGCCCTTTTGGTTCATTATGCTAATTATGAATTTTAAATTAACTGGAATTTCTAATTATTTTCTATGAATTAATTGATCAGGGATACATAAGTGGATCGCCACATTCAGATCTTGACCTTGAAGACAATGATAAAATACCACAGGCTCATCAGCTGGGACTTATATCTAAAGCTATTTACGAAGTGAGTCATTGCATTTCTATAACTAAATAAACATTTTTTTTAGGTCTATAATATTAATTACACTTTATATTTAAATATAAAATTCAATGTTTAATTAATTGGTTTTCACAGTCAGCCAAAGACTATTGCAACGGCTCTTATGTTGATCGGGTTACCACTACCATCAGTGCGGATTGCGAAGAGTATTTGGAAATAATAGATAATGTACGATTGATGTGTGATCAAATTTTCTTCTTTCTTAAACTCAACTGCTTTACTGTGATGTAAAATGTTATATATTAAGAAAGCGTTAATTTGAATATTGTAGTTACTGGAACAAATAAATACAGAAATGGTGTTGGCTCCCAAGTGTGCGACAATAGAACCAAAATCAGATAATGATAGAAGGAAGAGAAGATTTTTGAACGAAAATTCAAAACATTATCGCCTTCCACCTCGAGCAAATGACTATTGGTGCAAGGTAATCTTTATCATCAAGATTAGAGCTGTTCTTGTTGATTTAGTTGTTAATTTCTAAATAACTTTTGTTAATTTGCAGGATTTTGCTTATCTACTCTCTACCATATGGGCAAACGATAAAGGTGTTCAAAGTGCCCTGCATGTCCGAGAGGTATTAACATATATTCAAGAACAGTGGGAGGTTGAGATTTTAATTATTTTTATATGTCATTAAAAATTGTATTTTATTTGGAAGCAGGGAACAATTCAAGAGTGGCGTAGGTGCAACCTTACCTTGAAGTCGAAGGCTAACTATGATATTGATATTCGGAGTAATTTTGACTATCACAAAAATCTTACAAAAACTGGCATCCAAGTTTTACTTTATGGGTAACCTTATTGGAGTTTTACAGATTCATTAAGATAATATATTGATCTCATATATAGCTTCTTCTTGCACCTAGAATTCCTGCATAATAATATAATTTGTAATTTTGGGCAGTCCTGATCATGATCTGGTTGTTCCACTTATATCAACCGAATATTGGTTAACTAAACTCAATATAACTTTGGATGAAGATTGGCGACCGTGGTTTGTTAGTGGTCAAGTTGCAGGGTAAGTTTACAAGTTAATATAACTTTGGATGAATATTGTTCCACTTACAATCTATTCTTTTCAAATTTCAACTTTCTTTAATTTGATTCAATATGATACTACATTCCACATTTATATATGGCAATGCTTCTTCAATTTAGGTACACAATGAAGTATTCAAATTATGGTTATCGACTGACTTATGCCACTTCAAAGGTAAGAACTAACAACGATCTTTAGTTTCTTCAATTTGTGAGAAAGAGTTTTATGTGAATGCTTGAAGCTAATATTATGAGTAAATTTTGTACAGGGATCAGGTCACTCTCCTACTGAGTGGAAAGGTAGAGAAAGTTATGAGATGTTTGAAAGGTGGATCCACTTTTATCCACTTTAGTTGGCTTCTTTAATTTCAAGATTTTCCATTAATGATCATACTCTGCAATCAGACTTTTTCTATTTATTATTGTTTTGCAGAACATTATGTTTCTACAGTTCTAATTGCTCAATTTGAATATTGTTAGTAATAAAGAGGCCGGTTGACCGAATTTTATTAGATTTTAGATACATATACACTTGCACCATGATTATTTTGCAGTTGATGGATATGGCATCAGATGTCTTTATAAATTTCAAAAAATAACTTGAAATGAAATTATGTGTTCAAGAGGGAGGTGAGACTATTGATTGGTATTATTGCCTAGAATTTGGAAATTAAAATAAAGAAGGTTGCCATTAGTCCCTCTTGTTATATTATATATCTAAACCTTATTATATAATTCTTTTAATTACAACTTTCTTTATTACAGAATTTGCTAAATAAGACAAATTAAAAATTAATGATGTGATAAACCCTTCATTTATCATTCTAACAAATTAACTACATCAAAAACCTTCAAAAAGTCAGGGTGATTCTACATTGAAGCTTAGTCATTTTTTTTTTTCTTAATCTTGGAAATGTCTTAATGGTCGATGGGATCTTTTAAGGGACAAAACCAATTCATATATTTTTTTTCTTTTATTCATGCATGGAAATTGCATTAATAAAAATATTGTGGATTTAATGTAATGAAAGTTATTATTGTAAGAATTATTCACCAAATGTGAATACAAATCAATGCGTGAAATCTCAAATAATGAGTTACAAAAAAACAGTATAATATCAATGCATTCAGATCTTAATAACTCACATGTTGGGTTATAGACAATCCTGTTTGTGTCATAGCTCTTGATTCTTGAATTTGAAAGAGAATAAGTGTAAGTTTTTCCCAAAAGGTAGAGAGCGTACACAAGTCTTCCTTTCCAATAACGCAAAACTGAATGATAACTTCCAAAATGGGTTTCAATTATCTTATAGCATTTGGAAAGAGGACTTAGTCAATTTAATAACAGTTTATTGGGCTCTCCTATTAAAGGCCCAATAAACCTTAAGAGCCACACTTTGGTGTCAATCCAAACTAATCAAACAAGTGTAATGGGCTAAACTTTAATATGATCATATTAAACTCATTAGTATATCAGTGAACTATCAATTTATCCAGTTTTAATCAAAACTAACATATAATTAATGTAAGCCCACAATTAGGAAAATTTCCTAATTAACATTCTCCCACTTGGGCAACATTAATTATTTTATTTTAATTGTAAGAAAAGAAAACAATTTTGACTCCCAGATAAACATAACTTTTTTAACTTTAAAGTGGCCACTATTTTAAGAAAACAACATAGTCCAAAGATAACACTTCAACCAACAATCTAATCAATATGATTATCAATAATGAACCAAGGCAATCTTTACATCTTACATCGACATAAGATCAATCCTTGATTACAATTACTAATAATCAATTCACATGGATTAGTAATCTGGCAGCGTGCCAATGATAGCACCCCAACAAGTGATCAAAACATGTGTTGTTACCCTGTCAGTCTTGATTAAAATCTCGCTTTAATCTTTATGCTTTTAAAGAAAAGCAAGAGACGTCTCATAGCTTCCAACGAAACTACACAGCTTTGAATGAAGCTAAACATCTTCCAATGAAGCTTCACAACTTCCAATGAAGCAACACATAAGCTACTTAGCTTCCAATAAAGCTTCACAGCTTCCAATGAAGCTAGTATGTTTCAACAAATTATCTTGAGATACAAATATGAAACATACTTATACAACTGTCATTCTCAAGAGAAACCTTATTCTTGAGATACAATGTTATATTTCACCAACCAATACAACTGTCATTCTCAAGAGAAACCTTATTCTTGAAACACAATGTTGTATTTCATCATCCATATGCACATATGTATATGTATGCAAATATATAAGAACTAATGATCATGTTCAAAATAAAATGGCATAAGTCAACAAAAAATATGTCAAACTCCCACTAATCCAAAATATCAAAAGACCTTAAGATGCCATGTTCTATACATGACGTTTAAAACCACAGGTCTTGGTCCTCTAGTTAAGGAATCAGCCAATATAAACTCAGTACTGATGTACTTTGCATCAATCCTCAAATGTTGATATTAAACTATCACAATAACTTATCATGAAAACAAAACCATATGCATTCAAAGTGACAACAAAATACTTCCATACAGGAAAACAAGCAAATAACTCATATAAACAATGAGGTCAACAAACTTTAATCCAGCCTGTCACAATGTAAAATATCTTTCGCATGCATGTGACATTATATAATAACAATATCATATCATTTTTCATAATTTCATGGATCCGCAAATACAGATATGATATCCAGTTTATTACAAATATAAATTATATCATGTAGTAGACTGAAGAAAACTCCCACAACCAAGTGCATCAAAAACTCAAAACGCATGTTATCACATGTATATAGAAATTAACAAGTTTAACATTTTTGTTAATGAATCGGCCATAACAACCACCTTAGCATGCATTCAACCGTAATCATAGTTCTTGACTATACTAATGAGGGCATAAAATATATGTAATACTTCAAGTATTTATGCGAGACAACCCCCATAAGCCATTTAAGACATATACTAAAACTTATTTAAAAAATAATAATAAGACATTTAATTTAGCTAGCTCACCATTTCTAATTGCCTCTCAAGAGATTAGAAATACCAAATGTGAGCACAAAACAAATAGTCTAAAAACAAATTCCTTTAATACCACTCAATGATCTCTATTTAGAAAACCTCCCACTGACCTTAAAATATATATAAGCATAAATATGGAGTTTAAGGTAAAAAAATTAGTGATACAAAAGTCTTTACAAAAGGGCATTAGAAAACACAAGAGAAATGACATTTCTATGAAACATATATACTCTTATGTGGAGCTCATAGCTAACAAGTTAGCCTTAAAGCATTTTAATATGCTTTTTAATCCCTTTAGCTTTAAACACTCATATATAATAAATGAGTACAACTTTATTGAGGGAAAACGCAAGCTGTCACAAACAATTACATTTCATAGAATCAATATCATTCCTCTTAACTTCTAATAACAATAATATTAATGAGAATTGAAAACCTTCATTAAAAGCTTCCATATGAGATATTTAACTATATCAACCTTATCAAACTTTAATAGTTTTAATAATCTTTATGCCATGATACAAGGAAATAAACCTATAAAGCTTAGTATTTTCAAGAAAGCTAATGTACTAAACTTGACTTTCCAAACAACTCAAGGATTAAAAGAAAAGCTAGTATCTGCTTACTAGAAGTTTCTAGCCAATGTGAGAAAAGACAATTTTCAAAATAACATAGACAAATTTTTCTAGTCATCAATATTTCACCGTACCTTTACTAGTGAGACTTTGTCTCTCAGCCATCTCAATCTGCTTAGGTGTACGAGGCATAACAACTATATATAAATAATAGTTCTATGTTCATCAAAATACTTATTACCTCAAAATTTCTTTAAAACCTTCAATTAAAGCTTTAAACAAATACATTGAAACTTTTCAATACTCATACATGAATCATAATATAAATAAAAATATAGCAAAAACCTTCCCTTTAAAGGAGATAAAGGGATTGTCAAGAATAAACTAAAGTTTTATTTATTAGAAAAAGAAAACTTTTATATGCGAAAATTTTTTAATCTTGACAATTTTTAACATCATTAAAACATGGTTTCAACTTTCAAAATTGCTAAAACAAGCATGAAGAAAATCTTCATCTTAAAAATTCACATTTTCTTGAACAAATTTCAGAGGTAGCCAAGGGAAAGAATTCGACTATATGTAGTGCATCAAAGGAGTTAAACAAATTAAGCACTACAAAAAATAATAAAAATAGAAAAATATTTTTCTTGTATCCTTCCTTCATACAAAAATGTACACCTTTTTATCCAGGGATCTCAATTTCTACATATTACCTTGATTCTCATTACAAGCAGATTGAGTCTTTAAGAAATCTAAATAAGACAAAGCTAATAAGGACATTCGCACTTTTGTCAAGAACAAATTCTCTTCCCCTTGAAGACAAATATAAAGATCAATTATTGAATCTCATTTGTCTATTTAAGTGTTAAAGATTATCTTTAACTAATCAACTGCATGGGCAAAGTCGTATGGTAAGATGAACAAGAAATAACTCAAAAGGAATATCAATACTATATCAATAATATATCACCGTGGGTATTGTTCTCTTAATTTGAAATATTCCACACTTACCTTATGTGTGGAATGCAACAAACAACTAAATCTAATAAATAAAACAATTAACAATAACGCCCAACTTTTAGATAATTCAACTCCTTTGGGATGAAAAATTGCCTTGGCAGTACACTACTATTAATTTATCCATGGTTTCACTATAAAATACACAAAAAACCCCTTTGGGTATATTACTGTATAAGGAATCAACCTTCCCAAATGACGAAGAAGTTTATGAGTATCAATAAATGGATTGCTTTGGCAATTATCATTTATCTCACCCATAAATCCTTCAAACATGAAATTCATGTACTTAACAACATACACATAAATTCACATTAATCATATTCCCACAAATATACAACTATTCATGCATATATAAAACAATAATAATAAATAATAATAAATTATGAAAATTATGAAATTTCCTTATCAATAACATGATTATGGAACATTCTTAGGGCTGACTCAATATCTTGATTCCACCACCTAAAAAAAAAAAAAAAAAAAAAAAAAAAAAAAAAAAAAAGATGCAATAGTTCAATACCACAAGCAACAAATAACTAAAATAGCTTTAAAAACTTTATAAGCTATTTTTCATAGGGATTCTCAATGCATCACCATTAACCCCCATTTGGGCAGAGAAAATGACATGCTATCAGTATCCCAAGTATAAAACTATAGGCAATAAATAATCAAAGTAGCTTTAAAACCTGATAAGCTACATCTCATAGGGAATCCT